GATGGAGGGATATCCCTCAAACTCAACATGGCCAAAAACAACTCACCATGTGTTCCTTCTTCCTGAATCCCAGTCAATCCTGGTCCTGGGCCTGCACTCTTGAAGCTGAAACACTGGGTTCACCTTACACATTTCCTTCAAGTTCATGCAGGCCATTTCTTTCCCTTTCTTGCCTGGAATTATCATTTGGGCACACTCTTGTCTTCATTTTCTGTCTAACAAACAGGCCCTCACCTTTCATGAGTCATATGATACTACCACTTCTTTCAAGCCTTTTCTGAAGTCCTGCCGTCAGCCAGGGAGAACTATCTCTCCTTTGTGTCCCTACATTATGCAGATTAAAAACCACCATTTTTGCAGCTGGAACACTTGACTTATTTACACGTTTGTCTCCCTCTATCCAACTGTAAACCTCTGTGGGGATTGCTGTATTCTTTGTGCTTATGTTTTTTATGCTCAGTGTCCAGCACAAAACCTGTTACATATTAGGTATTTAACAAACTGTTGGGACTTCCCTGCTGGCACAGTGGTTAAGAATCTGCCTGCCAATGCAGGGGACACAGGTTCAAGCCCTGGTTCGGGAAGATCCCACATGCCGCGGAGCAACTAAGCCCATGCGCCACAACTACTGAGCTTGTGCTCTAGAGCCCGTGAGCCACAACTACTGAGCCCGCATGCCACAACTACTGAAGCCCTCACGCCTAGAGCCCGTGCTCTGCAACAAGAAGCCCGCACACCACAACGAAGAGTAGCCCCCGCTCGCCACAGCTAGAGAAAGCCCGCACGCAGCAACGAAGACCAAACACAGTCAAAATTAAATTAAAAAATTTATTTAAAAAAAAAACCTGTTGTTGAATGAATGAATAAGTCAGTAAAAAGTGAGCAGAGGAAGAGAACCTGTAACAATAGCAAACACCTATTTGGTGTTTCGTGCATTCATTCAATACCAATTTTTTGAGCTCCTGTAATATGCCAGCCATTGTCTTAGGCACTTGCAGTGAATAAAACGGACAAAAATGTCTACCCACAAGGAGGTTATTTTCTAATGAGAAAGACAGTCAATAAATAATATAAATAATAACTAAGCACACTGTATAGCATGTTAGAAGGTAATAAGAGCTGTATGGAAAAAAAGAGAGAGCAAGGCAAAGAGAGGTGCCAGTTGCAATAGTAAACAGGGCAGGCAGGGCCTGCCTCATTGAGAAAGCAAGATCTGAGCAAAGACTGGAGGGAAATGAGGGGTTTAGCCAAGGGCAAGAGCCCCCGAGGCAGAGGCAAAAGCTAAACCTTGAGGCCTAAGATGGGAATGTGCCTCATACAGTCCAGTGAACACAAAGAGGCCAGTGTGGCTGGGCCACAGGGAGCCAAGTGGGAGATGAGGACTGAGGGGCAATGGCAGGGGTGACAGACCATGGAAGGCCTTGTAGACCATTGTAGAGACTTCGGCTTTTTCTCTGGGTGAAATCACATGCCATTGGTGGGTTTTGAGTATAAGTGTGACATGATCAATTTATGTTAAGAGATGACCTTGGGTGCTCTGTAGACAATGCCTTGTAGAGAGGCAAGGGCAGAAGCAGTGAGTCAGAGAGGAAGCTATTTCAGAAATCCAGGCCGACATGATGAGGGCCCAGAAGTGGTCAAATTCTGGTGATACTTTAAGAGGAAGCCTTTGATGTTGAGTGAGAAAGAGGAGTTGAGGATGACTCAGGTTTTTGGCCTGAACCAGAAGGAAGGCACTGCCCTAAGTTTTCCCTGTATTAACTCATCTAATCTCCGCAACGAGCTGATGAGGGAAGTAGTGCCAGGGTTCCTACTTTCAGTGGGACACTAAGATAGAGAGGTCATCTGGGTCACACAGTTCATAAGTGACAGAGCCAGGTTCTGACCAGGTGGCTGGTTCCAGAGTCAGTGCTCTCAGCCACTGCACCAAGCTCCCCTCCATGAAAGCAGCCTAATCGGATACAAGGTTCTTATAGTCCGTCAAAAGGCAAAAAGACCAAGGATAATTCTCTCATCTGGGCAAAACTATTTGGGCCTGAAGTAGGATATTTGGCACAATAAAAAGAAAGAAAGGAAAGGATTCATGGGCACGATAACACAAAGCAAGCAGAAGACACGCTGGCCAAGATTCGTGCGGCTTTTAAGATAGAAGGCAGCAGGTCTGCGCTCACGGCCTTCACATTCAGGTAGTCAGATGCTTACATCGTGCCTACTGAAGCTGTAAGTACTAAGCACAGAATGTGCCCTTGGGCAGCCTGGGCACTTGAAGCCAATACTACTTTGTACCAAGCCTTCTCTCTTAGTAACCAGACTGTCCCCTAAATTAACTGAATCCTGTCGGCTTTAGAATATACACAAGGTACAGCAATATTTTCAAAATGCTGCAGCTTAAATATAGGAACAAATGCTCTTTTAGATGATAAGGGTGTTGCAGTTTGTAAAGATTGTTGGGCCATATGTGCAAGTACAGCCTGACCTGATACCAGGTGTCAGTGAAAGCCATGACCACACCCAGGTAGCCACATAAAAGTAAGAGCCCTCTGGTCTTCTCTCTGGGGCAGGCTGGTGTAACAGGACCTGTTGTGAGCCTGCTGCATTGTGATTGCATCTGCTGGAAACGTCTAGAAAAACTTTTGTCCCCACCTCCTCCCCAATCAACACATATACTTACGTCCTGAAGTGGAGGTACCAAAACCCTTGGTCTCTCTTGGGTAAGGATCCACCTTCTTTTCCTCCCCACTCAAGTCTGGTAAATCTGTATTCTTTGTGCTTATGTTATTTCATATTTTCACCAGTTACTACAGAAGGCTTTTAAATACATTATCTCATTTAAGTCATACAACAATCCAGCAAGGAGAACTTGTACTATTATTCTCATTTTACAGATGAAGAAACAAGCTGAGAGAGGTTAACTGGCTTGTTCAAGGTCGCTTGGCATCTAATATCCATGCCTCACAGTTTCAGATTAAACCTCCTTTCCACACTCCCACACTGCTTCTCTGAACTGTGCAGCACATCTCATCCTTGGTCAATCAGTCGCCAGGTTCAACTCTCCCATCAGAAGCTCTCTCACATCAGCCTCTTTCTTTCCAGTCACACATTCCAGCTCTCTTCCCTTCACCCTAATCAACTAATTTATCTCTGCCTTTAGTGTCTCATGCCTCCACCCCACCCTACCAGGTGACTCTTCTTAAGGTACCACTTTAGTCATACCTCTCCTCTCCCCCAAATCCTTGAATGCTCCTATTTGCCTGGGGCATCAAGGGCGGATGCTGCAGCAGCACATCTCCAGTGTCAGAGCCCTCCTCCCTACTGGCCTCATCTCTCTGTGACACCTACAGGTGCCTCACTCAATTTGGTCTGTTGGCCATTCCCTACACTTTCCTAATGCTTTCCTTCCCCTGGGCCTTGAGTTGTTATTTCTTTTCACTTAGAACACCTTGCCCACTAACCCACTCCCCATTTTGACAACTGTACATCTTAAATACATGACCCAAATTTAAATACCTTCATGGAGCCTACCTGCTTGCTAAGTGCCACGACCTTCAATCATATGGCACCAATCATACACTTCCCTGTAACATAATCTCCTCTGCCAGCCTGCAAGCTCCAGGAGGTCCCAACTATGCGGGAGGCATCTTTGTATTTTGTATCACTCTAATGTCTAGCACAGGGCTCCGAACATAACAAGTGTACAACAAATGTGTAAAATGACTTGGTTAAATGAATATTCATATTAAAAACCATCCATCCATGCAAACACATGCAGTTAGATTCCAAAATGAAAGACACACACATGTGCATGTGATACCACAAATTTATTATAATACACACACCAAAAACCAAACCCAAACTTTGACAGTATCCACAGAGTTTTCCACAGTCGTTAAAAGTAGTTAACAGAGATAAGGGATAATTGAAGAAATGTAACATCATAATCTTATAATTTACATAACAATGCAGTCTGCTCAGTTAAGAATTCTACGCAGTTAAGACTGTAAAATGGCAATGTCCCACAGATATTTAAAATTTTACATTTGCATTTATTTGTAATATAAATATAGGTTCTAAAGGATTCATAGAGCTTTATGTCATAAGCCAGATTTTGCAGCTGGCCTTTTGGCCTTTTTATTTGTTAGGTAAGCAAACCCAAAGGCAAGGAAGTCCTGAAAAGTGGGATGAAACTCCAGCAGAAACTCTATGTGACCCACAGAGCTGTTTAATAAAACAATGCCCATCCAATCCTACATCCAGTGATACCCATTCTAATTTGCTGCTGTTCATACGGAGGTTACCTCTGCCAGCTGTGATTTCTTTTCATGTAACATTCTAGCTCTCCATTCCTATTCATATAATGTAGAATGTGATTCTGTCACATGTTGCTGTTAGTTCACAGGCACAGCAAACATTTTAAAGACTACACGGAGACAAGGAGGGGTTGTACAGAGCAGGGCAGAAAGTATGCAAGAGAAGAAACAAACTCTCCTGTTTTCTCTTCTTTTATTTTTGCTTCCTTTTGGTCTTTACCCTACTGGGGTCTATGGGAATTGTGTGTATGTGTAACAGCATCTACCGTACCTCCTCCTTTTAGCACTGGTTGGATTTGAAGAGAAAAACAGGAAAACACTTAAGGAACCCTGAGACTCTCACAGAGAAATAAATTAGAGCTGCTGTTTCTTTTAGCTTTGCTCTCCTGTTCTTTACTATTTATTAAAAAAAATGAAATCTCTCCTTTTATCAACCCTCAAATTCTCATATTGTAAGCGAGTGAAGTCACTAAAGGCAAATAACCTTACTAATTTGCTGAGTGTGAAGAGAAAAGGCCATGGTACAGATTAATGGATTAGGAGGGAGACACCTAACTCCAGGAGTTTACAGTTGGTAAAACCTCAGGCTTTGTCGTACAATAAGTATCACTGTGTGTTACACAATTACTGGGGTACTAATTGCTTACAGTCATACAAGCATAAGCAATCCTTCAAAATCAAGTAAAATAGAACAAGAAAAAAAAACACTGTGGAAAAATTCAGAAATGTCCAAATATTGCTGTTTCTTGGGCAAAACTCTACTGATCAGTAATTGGGTTCTCCAACAAGAAAATATGGCTGTTAGAAAGTAGCAATTTTAAAGAAATGAGAGCTATGCAAAATGAATTTCAGTCCCTCATTATATAGTTTATAAGTTTGAAAAAAAGAATTCGAGGCTGTTAATTAATTCATAATTCTGGAAAATATTTTTCCAAGCAGTGAATCTATAACAATAACTATTATACAGTCTCTCTCTTGCTCTCTCTCATTATGAGAGAGACCCTTATCACCAAATCTTCCCTGGATAATCTCTGTGCCACCATTTGCTTCCAGTTGCTTCACAAGCCACCCTTAACCCATCCCTGGGTGGTCTAAAATCATTTAGTGTGTGCCAGTGATATGAACATTTACACATCTAACCAATATATATTTAACCAAGATAATCCTTTAAACCATGATATGAGAAAGTGACATTACAACACCACAGACAACTATTTTTTCCATTGATAAATTCACCTCTTTCCCGAAATATACAAAGTTCATTGCAAAACGGTGATAGCAAAGTGTTCGTTAAGCCATCAGAACAAATCACCTTGTTTTCAAAATAATAACCTTAGTTTCAAGTGCATCAATGTATTACCCTAAAGGATTGTCACTTTTATACAGTTTACACCACAAATGCGTTGTGAGGAAGTCTTACAAGCAAAACTGGTGCCGGCTACTCGAAAGATCCATTAAAAATTACCATTAGCGATTTTAAATGATAACTGATCAAAAATACACTTAACGTTCACCCTATTAGCTCTTTAGAATGCGAATTTAAGTTTAGAGTAAATACAGTGTCTTCTGAATATAGTCAACAAGCAACAAAGCCAGAGCCCACAGTTAAAGGTTTCCAGACCCGGCAGAAGGAATCTACTGTACGGCATGGATCTCTGTCCGTGCTCAAAATATCTAACGATATTTTTCATCTATACTGGACTTCTTTGAAGAGTACTCTACTGTTTCACATCCTTCTTTCAACCTAACAAAATGTGTTAAATAAAACCTTTAGATTAGGTTTAAAAGCAGCTGAAAAACTGGCTGCTTTAGGCTCTAATTATCAGAAGACTGGTATCTGGGAGCTTTGGGCTCTCAAATATCAGAAACCCCAATAACTTATCATAAAAATACAAGCTCTTGGTTTTGAAAAATATACAAAATGCACTGCACATGGAAATATCTCTTGATTGTCAAGGAAGACAAGATATCAGTCTTATTCATAGATTTATGCTGTGCTTGAATTTCAGTGATCTTTGTTTTTGCAGATTCCATTTTTCACTGTTTTGGGTAGCCTCTGACCTTTGGTGTAAGCACGGTACCAAAAATGGAGAAAGAGCAGCAGAAAGATGCACCCGTAACTCATAATGATGTACAGAAAGACTGGAAACTGGTACTTGCAATCCTCCATGAAAAAGAACTGGCCTATGTGTATAGTGACAATAACGAACTGGACCTAACAGAGGGAAGAATGAAAAGTATTGTTTAGCTACGAAGAGTCACAATGGAGCAATTATTTAATGCATTCTTTGTCTGCTTATGTTTAAACACTCTCCAACCACATCCAGGCTACTGTTGGACAGGGAATTTTATCTTTCAATCTAGCCTCTATGGGAATGACAGTGGGTGGAACAATGTCAAAATGCAGATGGGAATTTGCAACTACTATTCAGTCCTGCCAAAGTGCACAGCTCCAGGGGGAGCTATGTAAATGTCCCCGGAGCAGGGCAGTGCAGCAGCCCTTTCACACTCAGAGAACCATCAGTCTCTGGCTTGAGTCCTTGACCTATGAAATGCATACAGGACCACTACCTTATGGCCTAATTTTCTAGGGCAGTTTGATTTCAAACATTCTGTTCTGTTGGTAGACTGGATATTTCCGTTGGTGGGGAGGGGAACAAAAACATTCTAATTAGAGCCCCACTTATTTTGTAGGAGCCAAAGCATCGCTAAGTCCTCATATCTGCCACCGGTCCTCCACCGTCATAGATAAAAAATACATCCTATCTGCCAACTGCAGCAGAGAATCTGCAAGGAGTGAGAGAGCATTGGTGACCCTCCTAGCGATGCCCAAGGGCTCTGTGTTCTAGAACGTTCTACACAGTCTTAAAAGGGACATGTTTTGGGCTAACATCCAGATTTTTTGGATATATTTTTTCTCATGATTAAAAGGCAACATGCGTTTTGTGGAAATTTTGGAAAATAAAAATCTATACATAAAAATAAATAATGATTACCCACAATCTATCCTGTTAAAACCAGAGTTAAGATTTTCACATTGTTCCTGTTATAATCATCAGCTTTCCTTGCATTCTCTTTTTTTTTTTTTTCGGTACGCGGGCCTCTCACTGCTGTGGCCTCTCCCGTTGCGGAGCACAGGCTCCGGACGCGCAGGCTCAGCGGCCATGGCTCACGGGCCCAGCCACTCCGTGGCATGTGGGGTCTTCCCGGACCGGGGCACGAACCCACGTCCCCTGCATCGGCAGGCGGACTCTCAACCACTGCGCCACCAGGGAAGCCCTCCTTGCATTATCTTAAGGAACTTTTAGAACATTCTTGTGCAGTAGATACAATTATGCCTCTCATTTTGCAGACGAGAAAATGAAACCTTAGAAAGTGTAAGCAGCATCCTCAACATTCTATGCAGGTGTGTTTGTCAATATTATCAACATATTTGAAAAAATAATGAACAACATGTATTCTTTTTGCTATATAAGTATTTTTCCACATTATTAAAAAGTTTCTACAACATTTAAGAGTATGTTAAGTGAAAAAAAAGCCTGATACAAAATTCTATATGCAGTATAGATGTTCTAATTTCTCTGCAATGAGGACATATTACTTTACAATCATAAAAATTGCTTAAAAAGAAAGGACTTGTGAATAATTTTCATGACTTTGTAATATTCCTAAGCAGGAATTAAAATAATTTACTTCATTTCCTTATGGTTGGTTATTTAGGGTGTTGTCACTTTTGTCAATATGTATATTACACCACCATTCTACACCTTTAATTCCCACAGTACTTTTACTAGTTGGAGGAAAAATAGACTTATAAATGTTAGGACTAGATAGGCAGGCACACAGGAAGGCTCATAATCCTCTCAAAGTTACATTCCCTCAAGGTCATTTAGACCTAGAATATGGAATGTCTAACTTCTAATTTAATATTATGTATAATGAGGTTCACATAATTTTGAACATAAATATTTTTATTTTATATAAATGCATAAAATAGTATAAAGATACACACGCTAGTTTAGTTGTCTGAGCCTCTTGGCTACCAAATAGGCTTTGCTTTCAATAAAGTTCCTGACAAAAGTTCACATAACAAAGAAAGGACAATGATGGGATGCCATAAGAGGCCAGACAATTTATATCCCTGTGTTTTATAAACTTTGCTCTTTAGTTAGTATCCTCATTTACAAGGAAGACAAGGGACTCCAGTTTAGCTTCGTATCTGGTTTTAAAGAAAATTAATTACTCACAAGCTGTAATGATGTCAAATACTTTTTCCACCACAAATACTTCTGGTAGGCTGGTCCCAATGCACACAGTCCATAGTAGGAATACATGACTACATGTACAGCTGTATTTAGAAAGGCATGGAATGTTCCCAAACCACCTGGAAAAAAATATTGTAAAATAGGGGCACTGTTCCTTAAAATGAGACATATTTTTCTCTGAACGGAAATTTTAATATAATTATTTCTTTAATTTTAGGAGGAAGAAAAATATATATGAAATATCACTATTGTTAAATAGCTATAAAATTAGAGGGAGCTGGATAATACATCCAGTTAGTAAAACTAAAATACAAATCTTGTAGAATAAATTAGCATGACTTTATTCTGTGATATCTTAACCTGAAAATAGTCTTATGATTTGGGTTTACTTTAACAAACTAAGTTGACTTCCTTTTAAATATAATATATTGCTAAGTAATAGTAATCAAATTCATTTTTAGTGAGAATTAACATATATAAAGCACACAAAGTACACCAATCTTAAGTGTACAACTTGATGATTTTTTTTTAACTTGACGATTTTTTACACATGTATACACCTATGTTACCACCACCAAATTCAAGATATAGAACATTGCTGATGCCACATAAAGTTCCCATGTGCCCCTTCCAAGAACATACTCCTCCCAATGTAACTTTTATTCTGACTTCCATCATCAACTATTAGTTTTGCCTGTTACAAAACTTCATATAAATAGAATTACACAGGATGTATTCTTTGTGGCTACCTTCTTTCAATCAACATACTGTTTTTAAGATTCAACCATGTGATTGCCTTTTTATTGCTGTGTAGTATTACGTGATATAAATGCATCACAATGTATCTATCCTCCCATTTAAAAGACATTTGAGTTGTCTTCAATTTGGGTTATTATGAATAAAGCCACTAAGAATATTATTTTACATAACATTGTGTGGAATCAAATTAACTTTTTCCATTCTCAATAGTTTTCCATAAATACTTTTAGTGCCACAATTTTTTTTTTTTTTTTTGCCGCACTGCATGGCATGCGGAACTTCCCTGACCAAGGATCAAACCTGTTCCCCTGCAGTATGCAGTGGAAGCATGGAGTCTTAACCACTGAACCACCAGGGAAGTCCAAGTGCCACAAAATTTTGGCAGTAAAACCACTGGCTTTCATTACCAAGCTGTGCTAAGTTTGCTTTAATCAATCATTGTTTTTCCAAAATAAACATTTATTAATTGTTAAATCATCTTTCCTTACTGCTTCTATTTGACTATTATCAATTGTGCCTTCCTATCCTGGTTTTCCTCTTCTAATCTCACCATATCTCCCACTGATCACTTTCAATTTAGAATAGAAGAAAAGGACCCTGGGGGGAATATAAGCAAAAATTGTTACAATTGTCTTTATTTGGATCAGTAGTACAGTGGAAGGGGTAACAGAGTGTTCAGTTGATGGTAGGGAAAAAAACCAAAACTCTTCCCTAGTGTCTTTTTCCTAAGATGCACAATCTTGAAGAATCTTCATTCTTTATGCACAGCCTGATTCAGCTTAGTAATACTGACCTAGAATTTAAATTTTTCTCCAAAATATGCTATTTTATTTATTCTAATATTCTTTAATTTCAGAAATTAAGCAAAACCTCACAGATTTGCCTATGTTAGAGGAAGGACTGAATCCATGAACACTATGAGTTATAGAAAGTTTAAAGCAAAATACAAATTTATTACTTCAACCACAATCTTCTAAGGAGAAATGTCATAAAAATTGTTTCATGGAAGAAATAATTATTTTTTTAAAAAATCATTCATAATTGCAGCAGTGCTAGATTCTTCTAAATACTTCTAAATACTACCACTGCCAAAGTACACCCTTAAAATACCTGTTTTAAATAATTACTTTTAAGTAGTTTAAATATTCCCCTAAAGTCTCTTTTATGCTATACTGTGCTTCCTAAACTTTCCTCAGTAAATCAAATTTCAGCTAATCCTGTAATTATCACAAATTTCAAGTCAGAAGAAACTGAATTAATGAAGCTTATTAACAACCTCCCAGCTTTTATTATTTACATTTGGATTAGTCTTATTTCCCAAAAGAAACTTGAATAAATAAATTAGTATGGTATGAAAACACCTTTTCTAGGCTAATTTAAAAATAGAATAGATTAGGAGTCAAGCTGCTTAACATGGGGACAAGCCAAATACCTCTCAAGTCCATTTGTCTCACAATTACATATACACAGGAAATCTATTTCATGCTTGATAATGAACTACATTCGACTGAGCCTTTCTCACTAAGACACCTCTCCCAGTTTTTGGTAGAAGAGTTCTATTTTCCACTCAGAAACTTTCACCATTTAAATGTCCTAAAATGAGGCTCCTACGGACAGGAATTTAACAAAGCACTAGTGTAGCTAAGAGTGTTCAGTAAGGGTTACTGATCAAAATAAGCTATCAAATCAAATTAACTTGCTTATTTTCTCTAGTAATGATGATTTTCTGATAAGTTATTTTAATGTTTGTTCACAGAACAATCACATTTTAATTAGTAATGCTTTTCATATCTTCTTTGGAAGGCTTTTCTAATAAAGTATTTTCTAAGCTTGTTTTCTTCTTCATAATAGTTCTGAAAAGCAAACATCTCAGGATGAATTATAATTAGTACCATCACATTTTACTCCTTTGGTTTGGAAAAAAAATAAAGGAACCACCTGGGTAATTATCACAACTCTCCATATCTCTGGGAAGGAGTATATACATAATTAATATAAAAACCTGCCTCAGAAATATTTTCATCACGTTCAAAAGAAAAGGTGGATTGCTATTATCCCAGGGAGGAGTACAACAGGCAAACAGGAAATTAAATACTAGATAGATATCAGCTGTGCTCAAGTTTTTGAAAGGACAGTTTAAACTGGACAGTTTTATTCTAGGAATGAAAGCCAATGCCACACCACACTTCTGGGAATACCTCAGCTCTTGTTGCTGTGCTTGTCACTGAATAGATACCAGGTGTGCTGTACAAGGGTTTACTAGGTTCCACACATGAGAATGAGCAGAAGTGCCAACTCATGGAACATATGAGAGAGAAGAAAACATTATTTTCTACCACTTACATTTTGTAAAGCCGACGGGGAATTGAGGTGTGGACAGTGAATCCACTATGAAGTGCTTAATGTACATGGTAACATTGAAAAATTGAGGAATATTATACGTTTAAATGTTCATTATTGAAAGCATTGCTTGTTTTTTAAATGGAAACCAGACTATCAATGGACTCAAAGAGAGAAACTAGAAAAATGCTCAACTCTATTCTTCAAATAAAATTTATTTTTTCCCATTATAGAACCAACAGATATTCAAACTAGAAAAATTAGAAAATGCAGAGATGGATAAAGAAGGAGAGGGAGACCACTTTTGTGTCGATTTCTCTGAATCACTGTTTTTGGGGTATTGTCTTCCTATACATTTTTAATCTATATTTATTTTTCAGTGTTGTAATAGAATAATCTGGTCTCAGGGAAGAAATCTGAATAAGTAAGTTCTAAGGGTGTGAAAACACCTTGTCTAGCATACTTTAAAAACAGAATAGTAAGAATAGCCATCTATTTCTGATAATTTAGGAGCCAAGCTTCTTAACAAAAGTTTGAGCTAAATGTCTTTCAATATCATTTGCATTTCACAATTATAAACACAAGACATCATAACCATTCTATTACTGGATGTTTAGGTATTTTCTAATTTTCACCAAAAAAAATAGTGTTAAGAAATACCACTGTAGAAAGAACTGAGAGGCACAATATACACGTGAGAGAAAATAAAAACACAGAAAGCAAAGAAAAATAATGGAGATTAAATAATATAACTACCTTCAATTTGTAAAATGGACACAGATGAGACTATCTTGTTATAATGTGAGTTAAATTTTTAAATTAACACATATACATTATAAGAAAAACAACTACATTTCCTTTAAAAAAAATCCTCAACAGATAAATGCCAATTTTGGGCAAGGAGCTACTTTACATGCTGGAAAATCTGATGCCCTTAGGCCAAGGTAGGGACAGCCCTTCCAGCTCCCCTAGGTTCTGCCATCTTCTTCTAGCCACTAGCTTATCCATGTCCCCTCATGCTCTGAGACATGCAGAATTTTTCCCCATGCCTAGAGAGTCTAAAACTTAAACAAGAGTTCCTCAATTGTGATTTCTCTTTCCTTTCAGTCTTACCAAGTCAGAAAACCCAATAGAGGTGAGCTCTTCACAGAAATGTTAAAGCTTTGTCTAGTATGGGCTGCAGGCTTACATGAAGACTTCTTAAATTGAAAAAACTAGCATACATAAATCCCCCAAACAACTTCTGCTAGTAAGACTATATCCTTCAGGATATCACTTATTTAAAAATTTGATAGGTAAAATTACTTACCTTTCTGTTTTCTCATATTCTAGATGTTCAGAAGCATAAAATCAAAACCAACTAAAGAACCTGTTTGCCAAGCTTTTGAGTTAAATTATTTTTGACCTAAAAAACAATATCAAAACATCCTTTACTATGGTAGGATGTTTAGGGAAGGTGGGAAACTGCAATTCGACACATCTTTACAGAGTTATTAGGGATTGGGATGTGTATCAGTTTTCGGAAATTTGAAAGCAAAGAAGACATGGAACTTGAGATAAACATTCTAACTTCCTGGAAACACAAGGAATAAGTTATCTAACTATATTCCTATAAAACCAAGGATTTTGCCATTTTATTTGTTTATTAATTATTTATTTAAAAATAGTTATAGAACTATATAGGACAAGAATAAAATCCAAACAAAACAACTAAAGGATACGTGTAGAAGACTATACCCAAAGGTCTTACATATTAAAGAGTATTGGGGGGTGGAGGGGAGATCTAGTTAGGAGTCCTATGTTTATGTTTCAGATAATTAATGAAAGTCAGAAGTTTGATCAAAGTGATTCTTTGATGTTCTGAGATTCTTTTAAATCACATTTAAGGACAGAATTTATGCTTATAGCATACAGAAACGTAATCAATTGTAACACATGATCCCAACTCTCCCTTGGCTACCTGCGGCAAATTTGACTCCAAACCACCAGGTCCATGGCATGATGGTATGATGGAAGACATGCAGGAAAGTCACTTGACTATTTTTCTTACGCAGAACAAAAAAGATCTGAAATAATTTAAAGACAATCAAGTTCATATAAAATCATGCAATAATTTATCTAGTGTTACAAAACTATTGGCAAAGTGCAAACTATTCCACGTTGTAATGTGCTTTGAAAGAGTTGCCTTACAGAATGCCTGTAGAAGCAGCTGGTTCTCCAAGAGGCAGCTCAAAAGCTAATAAGTATGAGAGAACTTGGGTACGATGCCTAGTCATGCAAGAATCAATAGAAAGGTGAAAAGATATTGAATGAAGATTTAAAAATCAAAGATATAAAGTGAAGAATATGACCAAAAATTACTGAAAAAATGTTACTGGTTTAAAAAAAAAACCCACGTGGATTTTGAAATATATGGGGAAGCAGAGACTTTTAAGTCCTAGGACTGAATTTCTACACTGCTCCCTAACTAACACATCCTACCAAGTTAGATAAGGGATTAAGCAAACTAAAAGAGGACTTGTAGCAAATCTGAAGTTAGCAAATTATTATTAAAGAAAGAGGAAGAGGGAAATACTTGAAGAGTTAATTGGGGAAGTAGGGTGGAAAAGAAAGCAAAGCAGCTTAGGAAAAATGAGAAGGGCAACAGAGGCAGCATCCAGATTGAATGTATCCAGTGGTTTACAGAAATGACAAACAAAGAGGTAGAAGAGGAAGGCTTTGTGGAGGGGGGGTTCAAAAACATATTCAAAAGCAGAATTAAATGTTCAAAAATATTCAAAATGCAGAAGACCAGTGATGAGTTAGACTTCTAAGTACAGGACTAAACAGAGTAGCAGAAACAAAAGCGTTCCTAAGAGTAGTTGAGAAATGTGGTTCAGGGAAGAACACAGAGCAGCAAGTTTCCTTATGGAAGCTGAAGCTGAGAACATGCAAAGCAGGAACAATGAAGTCAAAATGCTTTTGCTTATGCACGTAGAGGAAGGCAACACGGTGCAACAGAAAAAGCCATAAACCAGCAATCTGGGGTCCTAGGTCCTAGTCAGTAGTGGTGTTCCTCTGGACAAGTCTTGTAACTTTCTGGCTTCCATTTCTCTTCAGATTTAGTGCTCCAGGCTAGGACAGTGGTTCTCAACCCTGTCTGCATATTACAGTGACCAGGAAGGTCTGTTTTTTGTTTTTAAATAACCATGCCTGGTCTCTAACTCCAGACCATCTGATACCAAATCTCTGGGGGCAGGGCCCAGGTTTTTGTTTTCTAACGCAGTTAGGTCTCCAGCACCACAGCGGTTGAGAACCACTGGACTACAGCAGGGGTTCTTGAAGTGTGGACCCTGGACCAACAGCAATAACAGCACTTGAGAACTTGAGAAATGCCAGTTCTTGAGCCCCATCGAACACGTACTGAATCAGAAATTCTGCGGGTGGGATCCAAGCACACGTGTTTTTAATGAGTCCTCCAGGTGATTCTAATGCATGCTAACGTTTGAGAACCACTGGATTCTACACTCACTAAATTCTCCTTTCTAATTCTAACATTACGTGTAGCCAGCTGAGAAGGTAAAGCATACTGAAATTTGCTACCAGAAGTGTAGTGGTATATATTCTGAAGAGAGAAAACACGTGTCAGTCTTAGGCCCCGAACTGATTCCAGATAAATGAGATCCACATGCCACAAAAACAAAATAAATAGCCAGCTTTCCTTTGTTTCTGGAAATAAAGGCGCATGGCTTTCTCCTCTCATCATGGATCCTAATCCATGGTACTTGCTTCTCCCAGGCCTAGCCACTCAAAGTCAGAGTTGATACTCAGGAAGGGAGAAGACCAGTAAACATGGACTTCAGAAAGGCAGATGGAAATAGTTTTGATGTTACCAAAATTACTGATATTCCAGGGATAAGCTAACATTCTAGTGTAAGTTTATGAATTTTGAAGCATTTATCTTCTTAAAGGAGTATGGATGACACAGTGCTTTGTTATAAAGAACCAAAGGCAACATATTCTCTGCTCTTTGCTTCTTGAACTTACTTCACAAAACAGCTGTCATCCATCTATATAGAGACATAGCTTTGTAGTATATGTGTTAGTTACATTCTTATCTTAACCAGGTGGTTGATATAGAAGAAAATCTTTTGGCATTTGCAAAAGACTGAAAAATAAGTTTATCCTATTCTCTAAAATAACTGATAATAAAAAGTAAAAGATAATATGAGGTCTGCCTGAGGAACAGAGATAACCAAAGTTATAAGACAACTGTACACTCACAGTTTATTGCTTTCATTGAAACATCAAACATTTACCAAATGTGGTGATTATATACTCACAGTATCTAAGAGCTCAATAAATTTGGAGAAGTAATAAAGCCAGCAGGTGCGTGCCATCTGCAGAAACACACATAGATATGAATTTATTTATTTATTTTTACATGGAAGAAAATTTTATTTTTTCTAATTTTGGCAAAATTCACATTACATAAAATTTACGATCTTAACCATTTTAGAGTGTACAGTTTGGTAGCATTAAGTACATTCACATTCTTGTGCAACCATCACCACCGTCTATCCACAGAACTCTTTTCCTCTTATAGGACTGAGACTCTGTATCCATTAAACAGTAAGTCCCCATTGGTGAATCCAGCCCCTGACAACTACCATTTTACTTCCGATTTCTGAATCTGATTACTCTGTGTACCTCGTGTAACAGAATCATACAGTATTTGTTTGCCCCTTTGTACCTAGATTATTTCACTTAGCATAATGTCCTCAAGGCTCAACCACATTGTAGCAGTTGTCAGAATTTCCTTCCTTGTTAAGGCTGAAAAATATTCCATCGTATGTATATACCACTATTTGTTTATCCATTCATCCGCTGATGGACACGTGGGTTGCTTCCATCTTTTGGCTAATGTGAAGAATGCTATGAACACTGGCGTACAAATATCTCTTTGCATCCCATCTTTCAATTCTTCTAGGTATATACCCAGAAGTAGAATTGTTGGATTATATGGTAATTCTGTTTTTTGAAGAACCAGACATAAATTTACTTTTAAATCCAAGAAATTCACAAAGAAAAGCACCAGTTTTCATTTTACAGAAAATTACACACCTGAATTTCTTCGATCTTTTTTCTTGTAATTTTTAGCTTTTTCTCTCAACACATATATTCTGATAATTGAGTCACTTACTCATTCTGATTTCACATTCAGTGTTTACAAATAGAGTCCAAAAAGTTTTAACGTTGATTTTGTGTTACAAGTTTTTCCAAAAAGAAACTTACCCTCAATGCTGTAGGCGAGCGTGAATAGTCAACAATTTCACATCGAAAGGAATAACCTGTACCCCAGCCAGACATCACAAACTGCAAGAGAGCACATGCATATTAAAGAAGGAAATATTTGCTCAACGGCTACAATGAAGGTAGTTTTGAGTATGTCTCTTCATTACATTCTCAGCTGAGTCAGCAGTCAGTGCAGAAGGAAAGGCGGGCTAGAAAAATTACAAACCAGGAACTCGCTTGATATCAAAGCATCAAGAGTTTTCAAACCGATTCACTTTGTCATAAAGCAGAAACTAACACACCATTGTAAAGCAATTATACTCCAATAAAGATGTTAAAAAAAGAGTTTTCAAAATTTTAAAGTCACATTTATATAAACTGTGTACTAACTAAAATACCTATTTCTTGGAATGATTATTCTAATATAGTGGAGAACAAAATACTAAGAATGTTTTGTTTGAACAGCAAATACTGGTAAGTGCTTGACCTTATGTACATCTCTATGTGCTTGTGCACATGTCTGTGTACTCTCAAAGGGGTGACTAAGTCTGAAATCAGTCTTTTCTGATAATTTCTAGCCTTTGCAATTAGTCAACAAATAAATGAGCAGAGCAGCTTTCTCAATGTACTCATCCGATGGCTGCATCAACTGGGTTTTTCCTATCTCGGCTAGTGGATGTAACGTGAAGAGATAGTCCATAGCTTTTAAATCAAGATCGACCAAATACAAGACTCGCGTATTAATTTTGCTTTGGATTCACATGACAAGTAAGAGATGAAAATACTAACAAGAAAGTGCAGTCTGGCAAGCCTTAATTCCAACACACCCACGAAGTGACCTTAGGCTAGTGGTGAGAAGAAAAAGCCTATTGTTGATAAATCTGGACCTTAACTCAAAGATTACATTGACGTTCTTTCAGTCTGACGGTGGGAAGGTCTCCTTTTAAAACAGTACCTGAAAATGAAAAACTAAGGGTTCTAATTTAAAATTAACATTTATATTAAATGGCTGGCTTAATTTAGTGTTCTGACAATATGACCAGTTCTTCTCTGGAGTCCTATTCTCACGAATGCCAACATCTTCCCTAGGATGTCTTCTTTCTCAGCATAAGGATTATATCATTTTCTATTACATTACAAGTTTGCACTTTTAATTACTGTTAAAGCTGAAATGACAACTTTACAGTAAATTAACTTCTAAAGGCAAAAGTTTATGAGGCATAATCAGAATGACATTTTAATGGTAAAAAGAAAAGAAGGAGAAAGAAAAACTACTTACACTGTGGTATTTAAAAACACTATCCTTTTTGATTGATACTAGCTCCTAGCTTGATTTGTAATATAAATTAATCACACTATTAACTTGGTAAATTATGAATCTTGAGAATTAAGATTCAGAAAAGTATAAGACATATATCATGGGTGAGAAAAGTATCTTACAAAAACAAGTCAATGAATTTTCTCAAAGGAACAAGGGAATGTGGTACAGAACTAGTTAAATCTGTTTTACAAAATCCTGATCTGTCAGTGAGCATCTTCCTATTCTTTTGCACTTGGACTCACTTCTGACTGATGCAAGTAACACTCTAAGTCCATCCACTCAGATGGGGATGACTGATTCCCCATGCTACCCTATGCCAAACAAGTGCTGCACCAAATAGGAGAAGCTGTGGGATGTAGCCTTCTTCAGGGTCTTCACTGGTCTCTCTTTATTTCTTGACTGGTGCCAAGTGACTAGCACACTCAAACCATCACTATAAAATGAGGCATGTGGGTTCCTTTAGTCTGATGTACTTCCTCTCACCTTATTCATATTTGCCCTAACATCCCTAGTAGAGGGGTTCACTCTGTAGAGCAAATGTAATTGTGCCCCACCCAATAAACCATGCGTTTGAATGTGTCCTGGAGGTGATGTGCTGCTCAGCTGTCAAAAGTCTTTGTTTAAATACAAAGTAGAACTTAATGCTTTCCTGATATTAAGTTTAAGAACATTCCAAAAGCCTGCAGAGCTTTTGACATATATGTCTATATTTTAGGCTTTCACAAAGGAAGAGTAATAATTTATATTTGGCAGGTAAAAATCCCCAAAACTGCATATAAGTTACTCTAGTATTACTGGTTAATGGGAGATAGAAACTCTCAGATTCAGATATTCTCAAACCTTTTATGTTGTAATTGCTAAAACAGAAACCAAAACTTACTGGTTATAACTGGATTCCTTGCAGAGAAATATATTTGGGGACATCACATTCAATGGTACAACCAGACACAGAGCATAAAGGGATCTGAGAGACAAGGTCAATCCTGACTCTATAAAATGAGAGAAGTGAGGCCCAGAGTATTTAAATGACTAGTTCAAAATCAGGTAGCTAGTTAGTAGCGCAACTGGGACAAACTAGTCCCTGGTCTCCTGGCTTCCAGGTCTGTTCTTAGCACTGTCCTATAGTAGGCAATATCCTATCTCTGATAACTTGCCCAAAGCATGTATTTTTTCTGCTCCCTAGCTCTATTCTATTACTCCTTCCCTTTCAGTTGCTTATGCTCCAGAAAGGAGAGTAAGGTGACCTGTGAGTTAATTTTGGAAATAAAGTAGAAGGCAGCAAAGGAAGTCCAGACTTCAGGAAGGCCATGAGAAATGAGGCCAGAGCAGATTTAAGGTGATCTGATCAGGTGGATCCGTGGCAGGAATCAGGTTGGAAGGATGCATGTGCAGAGGCCATGGTGTCTAGAGAGGCTGGAGAGGTCATGCGAGGCCCTCCTGGGACCCAGCTGTGAGGAAGCATAGGCTATGCTGCAGAGGAAGTAAGTAAGGAGAATAGGATGAGGAAGCCAGCCAGCATTGGAAGAGAAGGAAGAAATCCCAGAAAAGCAGGTAAGGGAGGATGGCTGAGACTTGTAATCAGCAGAGGGGAGAGAGAGCATACATGAGTCTGCTTTTGGGTCCTAGAAGTTCCCCACCTCTCTTATTGACAGTTAAGGGACAGCTTCCCTCACCTACTGCTTTGTATGAGTCTAAGTTCTCTGTCCCCAACAAAGCCCAGCTAAATCAAACCAAACAGTCTACCACCTAACAGGTCATCAGGGCATGCAGAACCCAAAGCTGCTACCATGATGATGTCAACTCATTAGAGTCAGGATGAGCTCTGATGTCAGACCGACCTGGATTCAAATATCAGTCCTCCACTTACCACCTACAGTACTTTGAGTAAGTTATCTAATTTCTCCAACTCTGAGTTTCCTTAAAATTTAACATTTATGGACTCATTCAATCATCTTTTATGGCTAACTGCGTGCAAGTCCCTGGACTTAATTTTTCTCACCACCTGTGAGGCAGACTATACTGAGATCCTCTAAGGAGTTCAATATCTGGTCTATATATAACAATTTTTTGACAAACATCTACTCTAGTGAGCTAAGTTTCTGAAATTTCTTAAATCTTGGAGAGTTACCCTTACAGTCATAACAAGAAACATCATGACAGACAGACATAAAGACTCAGGCAAAATTCTCCCGTTAGGAATACTGAAGACACTTGCCTCATAACACATATACACAGAAAAGAGTACTATGAAAAAATTGTACGTTATCATCGCTTTCTTGAGTTCAAAGGGCTTTCGATTCTCCATGAGCTTTGGTCCCAGGGATGTGACAAAATAGACATAGAGTCCCAGGATGACAGTTTGTGGCAGAGGTGAGGACATGAGGAGCCAGTCTTCAACTCTTGGATCTAAGAGAAAAACAAGGTGTAAGTGCACATTTAGCCAAGAGATAACTGACAGTAACCAGCATTTAAGTGAGCACCTAGATCTTAATGCTGACGGTGGACTATTTGGTCAGTGATCACTGCTATTTTTAGGATGTGCCAAGGGAAATCACCAGGGATTGTGATGGAGCTCGAAACAGTGAGGCTCAAAGGGCAAAAGGAGGTAGTGGTTACCAGAACCCAGGAGAGAGCCATATGGAGGAGCCCCTCTGGTGAGGAGCTGTGACCTTCAGTTGAGGGATTCAGCCAGCACGGCAATCCTGCAAATAAGGGGCCAGGGAAATCAATACCCCAGCCTCACCCTCCTCCCTCTCTCTCCAGTCGCCAAACTCAACCAGAAACCAGAGGGCAGGGGAGCAAGCCCATGGATGTAGTTCATCCTGGTCATTCTACCAGGGGTACACAGTTGAATCTGAAGAATAGAAGATACCCAGCAAACTTTTTTGTTTGTTTGTTTTTTGTGTGTGTGTGTTTTTTTTTGCGATAAGCGGGCCTCTCACTGTTGTGGCCTCTCCCGTTGCGGAGCACAGGCTCTGGAAGGGCAGGCTCAGCAGCCATGGCTCACGGGCCCAGCCGCTCCGCGGCATGTGGGAGCTTCCCGGACCGGGGCATGAACCCGCGTCCCCTGCATCGGCAGGCGGACTCTCAACCACTGCGCCACCAGGGAAGCCCCCAGCAAACTTTTATCATCTGTCTATAACCACCAGTAACATGTTAGAGTTTCTCCATCCAGACATGCTTTTATATATATAAATATGTTTGGTTTTGCTTTTTCTTAACTTTCTTCTTTCCCCAAGGAAACTGGGGGAAAGTTTTCTGTATACTGTATCATACAATTGAAAGGGGATTTAGCATCATTTAAGTATCTAAAATGTGGGTTCTAGGTGTCCAAAATGTGGGCTAATCAATCTGATATTTTAAACAAAAACAAACAAAAAAGTACTAGCCTCACAACCATGTAAAAAAGAAATTCACGTGGTCCCTGCTAGTTCCAGGCCATGAGAATTATTAGATCAATTAAAACTTGCAACTCAAGATGAAATGTGATTAATTCTATAATCCTAAGTAGTTCGGGTATAATTTTACTAAATTGCCTCATGAAGCCAGAATATTGTAAAGGAAAATACGTATGGACAAGTTTCCAAATACATCTGACTCAAAATTGAGTCTTGACTAACCTTAGGTTGCTAAGTACCATCATTCTTGTTAATTGGGAAAAAGGGTGGGGGGAATACAGCCCTTGCCCACTGAAACTGCTAATGATGTGGCCAATTACCAAAAAAACGTTGTATATCCCTTCAAGTCTGACTTCCTACCCAATGCAAAAATTTCTTCAGTAGACTCCACACCTGATGACTCACTTGGCCTCAACTTTATTACTGGAAAGTTCACATTTGATACTCAGATATACCAGGGCATGGCTGTAGCTATTAAAGGTGATTTATTCTATACTCAAATGTGCTTCCCTCAAAAATACTGACAGATGCCCTATCTTGAAATAATACATAAGCCAAAAGTCAGCTCTAGGAGGGACCCCAAGATATTTAGGAATTTAATGTACGATAAAGAAAGCCTCATAAGCAAGCAGGAAGGGAGAGACGATTCAGTAAATAGGAAAACTGACTACCTGGGAGAAAAATGAGTTTGTGCCTTACCTTGTATCCTATCCAAGCATGTCCCAAACTATGCAATATAAGAAAGCTATTTAAAGTCTTTCCACAAAAAGTGGGGAAAGGCTACCAGAAATGCTAGGTTAAACAAACAAGTGCCTTTCTGCATGATTTCTTAGTGCTTCATGTTTGTTGTGAATTGCCAAGATGAGAATGGTGGTATGCAGCATTCCCCAAACTTACTTGGCCATGTAGCCCTGTTTTTTTGTAGAATACTATTTAACACCTTGTGGAACTAACATTCTGTGGAGCACCGTTTAGGAAAGATAGCCCTTCGCCAAAATAAATTTATAAATGACGGATTTTTTTCCATCAGTGGGTAATCCAAACCTTAAATATATGAACATCATAAACCATATTAATAGGTCAAGTTTTTATCTCTAATGAAATAAAGACTTAAAACCAATACTAAAAGAAGGCTTCTGGAAGAATGTTAACAATATCACCTTCAGATGGGGACAATATGGGTGATTTTTATTTTTTTCTTTTTCTTTATAAGGAATTTTAAATGTTTCTGTTATTAATGGACATCACGGGCATGATGGAAAACTAGTTTTTTGGGCTTTTGTTTTTGTCAGCAAAGGAATTCCTGAATCAGAAATATTTTATTGTACTCTTTCATTAGCTCAGTGGTGGCAGGGGAGGGGGGAAGGGGTGGTACGCGGGTATCAAATGACATCATATTTCTGTTCTTCTGCTGGTAGCAGTAGGAGAAACAAAAAGCCAGGAAACGCATGCTGGGCTGGCTCATTTTATTTAAAAATGATTTAAATAAATCATTTTTCCTGTAATTTAACATTTTAAGCACACACCTTTTTTTAAGAATCCTGAGTGTGACTTTCCAGTTCTACAGATTTTTAAAAAAATCTTATCTTTTAGGAAAAGCTAGCTAATTTAATTTCATATTATTTTCAAAGCAAATAACAGAACAAAACACCAAGCTTTTTCATCCTATTTCAGTCTGCGCTCTGATCCTGGCTCTCACATAACTGACTTGTTATGTGACCTGAGGCCACCGACTTAACTTCTCTGTGCTTAGTTTCCTCATCTGTGAATTGGGCATAAAACAGCAGGTAGCTGAGAGAGGATTTAGTGAGTTATTTTGAGTAAAGAGCCTGGCACAACCTCAAATTGCTCAGTAAGCACGGCTACTATTATTTCAGCAGATCTCAGTTTTGTCAGCACAGCAGAATCACCTCTGGAATATCTATAAACCAGATAGCAAAAAAAAAACAACAAAAAACTCGGCATGGGTCCCAGGCATCTGTATGTTGAAAAAAGCTGCCAAGGTGACCATGATGAACCATCAACGTTTTAAACCAGGGCTTCAGTGCTTCCTTCACCTACACTGAGGTCCTCAGTACTCCTCACTAGGTGCTCTGCAATAATCTTTTATGTGATTTCCCTGCCTCCTGACCCAATCTGCTATGTCTTGTCTCTATACAACTGCCAAATTCACTTTCTAGAAGTAAAGCTTTGCTCAGATTATTCCTCTGCTTAAATTAGCTCTCCCTGCTGAGCGAATAAAATTCAAAGTCCTAATATGTCCACGACTTTGATGACTGCTCACTGTTCCTGCCTTCTCTCTTGGCAACAGTGATACCTTTCTGAATAGGGAGCCCACTTCTATGTGAGGCAGGAGGTTCCTGGTGATGAGACGTCTACAAGCCAGGTGTGGCTGGTGACTCCATAAGGAGGTTGTAGAGGGGGCTGCTCGACAATGTTTAAAATTAATTCTGCCTCAGTCTGTGATCCCACAAATTACAAAAGAATCAGGGGTCAAGTGAGCTCTGTTTTCCCTAGAGAGGGAGGGAGGGTTTCATGTACCTTGTATTTAGCATCGGAGTTGGGCTTAAGTGTTATGAGCAGAACCAAGATAAAGGCAGAGGATGGGAGGGCAGGCTGTCTGAGAGCCCATGACCCAGTGATTACCAAAGTTCTGACTTATTACTAGCCCGATAATGCTTTTCTAAGAGCGTTCTAAAGAGAGAGAGTACAGGAGAGTACAAGGGCCACATACATAGAATATTAATGAACTTTTCCACCAACTACTTTTAAGAGTGTGTTCACTTCTTAAGTAGCATGTACTAGCTCAAAGAGTAAAGCCTTTTAAAGGTATAAGCACCAATAAGATGAAGAAGCTGGAAGGAAAAGCAAACATGTACCTCTCATACTTTGTGAAGTACTAAAGGTTCAGAGTGGCAGCAAATCTTACTCAGACATTGTCTTCTTGCAAAAAAATCACAACTATGTCTGAAAAGTCATCATCATTATTATCCAAATGCAAGGAAAGTTGCTTTTCAAACATTAAAAATGTTATAGGGCTTCCCTGGTGGCGCAGTGGTTGAGAGTCCACCTGCCGATGCAGGAGACACGGGTTCGTGCCCCGGTCTGGAAGATCCCACATGCCACGGAGCGGCTGGGCTCATGAGCTATGGCTGCTGAGCCTGCGCGTCCGGAGCCTGTGCTCTGCAACAGAGAGGCCACAACAGTGAGAGGCCTGTGTACCACACACACACACACAAAAATGTTATAGCATTGTTTCAAGGTTTGACATCTCATATCTAAGAATCACAATAAACCCTCTTATGGCTTAAGTATTAATTAAACTGTTTTTAAATTCTGTAGCTGTGGAATTTTCCACATGAAATAACTATGCATGACCCCCACTTCTCTAGCAATCAGAAAACCAAAGAATATCATTAAGTTTTCCAAAGTCTACTCAGGATTAGGGCCAAAGCCAAGAATATGCTTGAAATTCTTGGCACTTGATCATGGGCTCAGACCTTCAGAGGGTAGGCAAAGTAAAACTGGACTAAGATGGCCAGAAATGATTCCTAATGGCTCTCAGAGATCGATACCACACTAAGCAGAAGGAAAAAACCTCTCCGGTTACACGCGGTAGTGTTCTCATAAAGTTATAAATCTCAACACAAAACATTTTAACCCTTCCGGATTTTGACAGGAAAAGAAAATGTGGAGAAACTTTTTAAAAAAATGATATGCTATATTAAAAGTGTTTGAAGATGGAAATGCTCTATCAGTCATCAACCACCACCACCGGTTGTGTAGGGATATTTCCCAAACAACAGAGCATTTTCATGCGTATTGTCTGGTAGCTGGTGGATACCATTCTCATCTCTGTTTTGCTAACAAAGAAACTGAAACCCACAGACAATAAATACTTTGTTCAAGATCACCTAGCTGGTTCACAGTAGTGTCAGAACTTAAATCTAGGTCTTCTCACTGCACACTCCTACCCTTCCTCTTCTCTCAAGACTTTAAATTAGCTTAGCTTCAGATAGGTACCATCACCTGCCTCTTTCTCTCCTCCTCCCTGCACTGTTTGCAACACTGCTTCCAGGGTGCTCCTTGCCTCTCCCTAACCACCTCCACCCCTTTGTCGTTCCTTTTTCCGACCTAATATTACTGGGCTTTCCAATGTAAGTATTCCTAATAAAAATAAAGTGTTGACCCATGAATAAAAGTGGAAGTGGAATTCAGAAGTAGCTCATCTTAAAACATTTTATGCTTCTAGCACTATATAGATACTCATCATCGTCTGAGTTAGAATATGGATTACCTGAATCTCTTGGGTTCCTGCGACTGGGATAGTTAACAGCAAGAGTTGGATAGTAAGGGATCTATTCTTCCAAACGGGTCTATTTTTAAAAATGTACCCAAATCTACTTGGTTTTCAAGGTTAAATCGTGAGAGTTCAGGTAGCAAGTTACACCTCTACTTTGAAAATAAATTAAAATATTCATATTTTTTTAAATAAATAAATAAAAATAAAAACCATTAGAACAAAACAATTAGTTTTTAAATTACTGAATTTATGAGAACTACTGTAAACCTTCAGAGAACGATGACCTCTAAAGAAACCTACAATTCTCTGCACCATACATAAGTTGAAAAACTAAGAAAAAAAATGAGAAAATATAAAAATTCCCTTAACTCTCCATTCACCAGAGTGAAGCTTCTTTATTTATGGGATCTCTTTCAGGTCCTTGGCATTCTTCAGGGGCAAAACTGTTAGGACCTTTTTCAGTGAAATAAGATTAGTCTTCGGTAGTCTACTGAGAAAGACAGCAATCATGAAACAGTGTATCTTTCCTGAAATCAGTGTAAATTGGAATATAATTTCAATTGTGGTAGGTATCAAGAGGTGACACTTTTCCTCCTGGATCTGGTGAACATGTGATTTCTAATTGATGGGTAAGAACTAATCTGAAGTGGTGATGGTGGTGAGTATGTGGAAAGTAAGTCAAATGTGAAATGTCAGAATACTAATCCTAATCAGGAAACATAGGTTCTAATCTTTTCTGCTAACAACTGACCATGACGTTGGGAAGGTCACATCTCTGGGCCTCAGTTCCTCCAACTCTAACATGAGGAGGTAGCTTTCATGATACCTAAGTCCATCTCAGCTCTAAAATGTGCTGATTCCTGTCTATTAAAAAAAAAAATTACCTTTGTTATATTATTAACATATTTCGTAGTAGTTATAAAAGCAACATACATTTGTGTGGTTTAAAAACATCTAGACAGGGCTTCCCTGGTGGCGCACTGGTTGAGAGTCCGCCTGCCGATGCAGGGGACGCGGGTTCGTGCCCCGGTCCGGGAAGATTCCACATGCCGTGGGAACGGCTGGGCCCGTGAGCCATGAGCCGCTGGGCCTGCGCGTCCGGGGCCTGTGCTCCACAACGGGAGAGGCCACAGCAGTGGGAGGCCCGCATACCGCAAAAAAAACACAAAAAACATCTAGACAGACATAGATAAGGAAATAGAAATTACCCATAATCCTACCACACAGAGATAACTGCTAACCCTCACAAAAAAAATACATGTGGTGTTTTATAAGCTGCTTTCATTTAATGTATTTTAAACTTCTTGCTATGGCATTAAATGTTCTTCAACAACATTGATTTTTACTTTTCTAATGGGCAAGGGGAGAATTACTCTGGTCCTTCTAGAATTACTCAGGGGTTACCCTAGGAAACGCTCCCCATCCTTTCTGATACGCCCCTGGGGGCTGCGGCCCTTCCCACTCAAGAGTCATACTGGACAGAGCCATTATTGGCAGTAACTGTTATTTCTCTTAGGAGCATTAGGGCAGAATCAAGCCTAAGAGCCCTGTGCCTCCAAAATCACTTCTAATGGCTACTGGGTTGGAACGTACCATCATTTATAAACCAGTTCCCTTCCTTGGATATTAAAGCTATCTTCACTATTATAAACATCGTAATGAACATCATCTGTGTACCTCTATCTTTGTACATATCTTCAGTGAAATCTTTGACACTTCATTAACTAGTAATAAAAATCAATATGTGGGGTGTCAGTGAGGGAGTGTTAAGTTGCAAAGTCTCTCGTTCTGTTTCAATGAAATCCTATTAAATATGGGAATCTGACAGGAAAAAGAAGGATGAGCCATAGTTAAGAAATTTGGTTACTTACCAGCATCTTTGATCCAATTACCATAAAGACGCACGGTCCTCGATGTAAGATCACTGAAGGCCATTTTCCACAGGATTTACTCGCCCTTACAATGGGTTCTTCAGTAAAACAAAAAAGAGATGTGTTTATGATCTATGGATGCAAATAAAGCCAAGTTTCTACTAATACAATATTAAAAATGTTAAAAATTTAATAGGAATAACTGGCAAAACAACAAACTTACTGAGGGTAAATGCATTAGTGAACCACATTAAACCCTGATGCAGTTGCAAACATTTAAGACTTTTCATCATAAGGACAATGCTTAATTCACTCAAAAAGCTGATGTTCTATGTACGAGATGCAAAAGGAGTAGGTGATTCTAAGAACTGTCGTAGGAGCATCTATCTCCCTTTATGAAAACAATATAGGTCAGGAATGGACTGTACCTCCCATGGCAATGTTGAAGTAAAAACCCAGAAGAAAGTCAAGATGACAAACTTTCAGAAAAGATACTCTGATCCAGACTTTTTTTTTTTTTTTGCTGTACGCGGACCTCTCACTGTTGCGGCCTCTCCCGTTGCGGAGCACAGGCTCCGAATGCGCAGGCTCAGCGGCCATGGCTCACGGGCCCAGCTGCTCAGCGGCACGTGGGATCTTCCCGGACCGGGGCACGAGCCCGCGTCCCCTGCATCGGCAGGCGGACTCTCAACCACTGCGCCACCAGGGAAGACCTGATCCAGACTTCTAGCTGACCTTCAGGTGTAAGAAGATCTTCTATATTCAAGTGTTTATAATTTAATTGAAATAGAGGTAGAGAGAGGGAGGAAAAGATCTACAAGAGCCAAGGAGAAGTTGCCTAGTTTATCTGGACTGATGACAAAAACAGCTGGAAAAAGAAGTCTTTTGAAAAAGAAGGCCAATGAGGGAAAACTAGCTCTATCATGTATTAAAAGATATTCTAAATATTCAGTAATTAAAACAGTGTGACACTAGCACATGAAGAGGCAAACCAATGGAATAGAACAGAACATCCAGAAACACACCAAAAACTTTGGGGATTTTAGTACCATATTTCATAAATTCTAAGATGTACACTTTCCCAAATTTTAACATCTCTGAAAACAGCACACACCTTACAAAGGAATGGTGCATCATAAAATGAATAGTAGGTTTGATTTCAAGTCATATGGTGGGAAGATGAAAAGTTCTAGAGATAGCTGGTGGTGACGGTTGCACAAAAATGCAAATATACTTAATGCCATTGAACTTTACACTTAAAAATGGTTAAAATGTTAAATTTTACATTATGTATATTTTACCACAATAAAAAATAAACCCTCTAGGTCTGCAACAGAAAAATTCAGACTTTATTCTAGCATTCTAAGATAAAGACATTTTAGAATATACATATATAAAGTATATATGTATTTTTTAAAGACATATCGTATATGATAAAGGTGACAATTCAAACCAGTAGGCACTGAATTACCAGCAATTACTGAGTAAATGGTATGGTACAACTAGATAGTCAACTGCAAAAAACAAGTTGGATCCAAAAATTATACTAAAAACCAAGATAAACTCCAATATATCAAAGATTTAAGTAAAAATTTCAAAGAACCATGAAAGTACTAGATGACAACAGGGAGAACACTTTTATAACCTTGGAGTAGAAAAACTCTTTTTTAACTTTGACTTAAAATCCATAAGACATAAGAGAAGACTAACAAATTTAACCATATGAAAATCAAGAAGAAGAAAGGAAAAAAACCAAATGACAAACAGAAAAAAATATATACGTTCAATTTAAAATACAGACAAGTGCTACTCTCCCCCATATATTAAGAGTTCCTAGAAACTGATGAGAAGACCTATAAGCCAAGAAAAAAATGGGCAAATTTCACAGAAAAGGAAATACAAATGGCTATTAAACATACGAAAAGTTGCTTAACTTTAACCATAGTAAGAAATATACGGGGCTTCCCTGGTGGCGCAGTGGTTGAGAATCCACCTGCCAATGCAGGGGACATGGGTTCAAGCCCTGGGCCCATGCGCCACAACTACTGAGCCTGCGCTCTACAGCCCGTGAGCCACAACTACTGAGCCTGCATGCTGCAACTACTGAAGCCTATGTGCCTAGAGGCCATGCTCTGCAACAGGAGAAGCCACCGCAATGAGAAGCCCGGGCACCACAACAAAGAGTAGCCCCCGCTCGCCACAACTAGAGAAAACCCACGTGCAGCAACAGACTCAACGCAGCCAAAATTACAATTAATTAATTAATTAATTTTTTAAAAAGTTTTAAAAAAAGAAATCTACAATATTTTATTGCATTGGATGGACTAAAGTCCAAACATTTTTATCAATCAGATGGGCCAAAATCCAAAAATGTGTTCACTCTGTTGGAAGGACTGTGGGAAACTCATACCTTGTTGGTGGGAGTGCAAATTAGTATAACCCTTGGTGCAATTTGGCATTATCAGTAAAAAAATTATAAACGCATAATTTTAAACCAGCAATCCTATTTCTAGAAACTTCTCCTATAGAGATATATGCACATATGCTCAATGACATATATTCAAGCTTAATCATTGCATCAGTCAGTAAGAGCAAAAGACTGGAAACAAGCCAAATGTCTATTAAAAATGGACTGATTGGTTAATGATGATATGTCTAACACCAGGAAATACCATGCCATTGTAAATAAGAATGAGGAAGCTTTCTGTGTGCTAACATGGAAAAATATCCAAGATAAATGTCTATGTGAAAAAAGCAAAGGAAGGGACAGAATTCTTTTATATATATATAAATTTATTTTATTTATTTATTATTTTTGGCTGTGTTGGGTCTTCGTTGCTGCCCACAGGATTTCTCTATTTGCGGCGAGCGGGGGCTACTCTTCATTGCAGTGCGCAGGCTTCTCATTGCAGTGGCTTCTCTTGTTGCGGAGCACGGGCTCTAGGTGCGCAGGCTTCAGTAGTTGTGGCTTGCGGCCTCTAGAGTGCAGGCTCAGTAGTTGTGGCACACAGGCTTAGTTGCTCCGCGGCATGTGGGATCTTCCTGGACCAGGGCTCGAACCTGTGTCCCCTGCATTGGCAGGTGGATTCTTAACCACTGAGCCACCAGGGAAGCCCAGGACAGAATTTTTAAATGACTACCTTTTATACAGAAAAGGTAGAAAGGAATAAGAATATAAATTTCCATTTATATATATTATCATACAAGGAACTCTGAAAAGATATCCATGGGGAAGGGATCGGGGTACAAACTGGGCCGAAAGGATGGAAGGAAGACCTTATACTGTTTGGGTCTTGACTCATGTGACTATATTACCTATACAAAAATAAAGAGTTAAAGTATTTTAAACAAACAAACAAAAAAGAATGGAATCAGCTGCACTTTTGCTGGGACATCGTTGCTTGAACACCCATACACACTTGCACATAAACACAAAAGAGGGATTTTAATCTTAATGCCTCAAGGATCTGTCTACTCCAGAGGACCTCTCCAAGTCCAGGGTGGTATCTCAGCATGGCCTCTGATCTGATACATCCAGTGTCCTCAAGCTGAGTTCAGACTCAAATTAGCTACGGTGATGCCAGGAACTTGCCAGAGTCAGCCTGGACTCTGGTTTTCCTGGGGATGATTTCTGTAGTGAAGGTGTGATATGGGGGTAGGAGCAGAAGCTCTGGGATTGCAAAGACCTTGGTTTGAATCCCACCACTGACTAGCTGTGTGACCCTGGGCAAAATTAAAGTTCAATTTCCTTATCTGTAAAATGGCAATTCTACAACCTACCAAGATAAAATAAACTCACAGAGTTGTTTGGAAGACTCTATGAGATAACATATATGTATAAAGTTTAGAGCACAGAATCTGATAAAGAATGAATATTCAATCAAAGTCAGACATTATCATTTGTAGAGATAAGTTGTACCAATTTAAATGGAAAACATCCAGCCAAACTCAGTTGAATGGCAGTATATGGCACAAATCTAGAGAAAAGTCTACTACTTTCATTATAAGAGCTGGTATGTCACAAATTATAAATGATTCTTCCCTTGATGTTTTCCAGTGGTTTTGGTAGGAGTGCTTTAGACCACGATAAAAGCTACTTTCCAGCTCACCTTAACTACTGATGTAACAGACCTCGAGCCATTATTCTCATAATTAAACTGCCAAAATAATGCTGTTTAAATTATTCAGAATCAGAGTGAAAGATTCTACTTTATAGGGCATATGGTGGGCTTACATTTCAAAGTATTAAACTGTTTTCTGTGCAAGCCCTGCCTCCTCTTTTCCCTCCACTCATTCCACATAGGCCATTTCCTCTCGCCAGCCCTCACTAAAGCACGAAGCCTCAAAGAAACCACAGTCTAATGCAGTTCAGTAATATTCACAGGCAGCAAAGAGAGCTGGCTTTTCTAATCCAAAAGACTATACAAGACTGAGATGCAGGAAGAGGGAGAAGGTCGTCAGAGGAGTAACTCACATGGGGGTGGGGGAGAGAGAGGAGGGAGAGACAGAAGTAGATGCCCTTCAAGCAGGTGAAAGGGCGGACTGGAGAGGCAGGAAAGGGATCTGTTGTCTCAAGCTTACTGGAGTGGAACTCTCTCAGGATCCTTTCCTCGTAAATAACCTGCCATCCAACAGTCCTTAACCCTTGTGGGCCCACCAGAGAAGGAACCTGCATAATTGTGTAGGGATGGGGCATGAAAAGAAACCTGATCCATTTAGCTTGTTGGAACTAAACAAACTGCTGAGAATTTCCTTATAAGCTGGGACAGTGATGGACTGGACGCCAATATTACATTATAGGGACTAGACTAGAAAACTGTTGATAAATAAATTGGGGGCAACCTGAGTTGTCCTATAAATACAGTGCTACCCCCGGGCTAGAGCCAGGCATATCTCCCCCGTCCCAACCCAGACCTCCCCCCTTAACAGGGACCCTTGATTGCTAGGCAATGGTACATAGATATGGGGAGAAACTTATTCTATGTGGTGAAGGTACAGAGATATCTTCTAGCTGACAGCAGAACTAGGACCTTAATAACTGATTTTAAATACTCAATGGCATAAAATTTCAGATCTGGAGATGCCAGAATAGTCAGGG